TCTCTCTCTTTCTCTCTCTCTCTCTCTCTCTCTCTTTCTCTCTCTCTCTCTTTTTTTTCTCTCTCTCTCTCTTTTTTTTTTTCTCTCTCTCTCTCTCTTTCTCTCTCTCTCTTTCTCTCTCTCTCTCTCTTTTTCTCTTTCCCTCACACACTCTCACACTCACTCTCACACTCACACTCACACTCACTCTCACACTCACTCTCACACTCACTCTCACACTCACTCCTCACACTCACTCTCACACTCACTCTCACACTCACTTCACACTCACTCTCACACTCACTCTCACACTCACTCTCACACTCACTCTCACACTCACTCTCACACTCACTCTCACACTCCACTCTCACCTCTCACACTCACTCTCACACTCACTCTCACACTCACTCTCACACTCACTCTCACACTCCACTCTCACACTCACTCTCACACTCACTCTCACACTCACTCCTCACACCTCACTCTCACACTCACTCTCACACTCACTCTCACACTCACTCTCACACTCACATCTCACACTCACACTCCACACTCACCTCACTCTCACTCTCACGCTCAACTCAACCTCTCACACTCACTCTCACACTCACTCTCACACTCACTCTCACTGCTCACACTCACTCTCACTCTCACACTCACGCTCACACTCACTCTCACTCACCATCACTTGTCCACACACATCACTCACACACTCACTCTCACTCACACACTCACTCTCACTCACACACTCACTCTCACTCACACACTCACTCACACACTCACACACTCACTCACACTCACTCTCATTCTCACTCACACACTCACTCTCACTCACACTCACACTCTCACTCTCACTCTCACTCTCACTCACACTCACTCTCACTCACACTCTCACTCTCACTCTCACACTCACTCACACTCTCACACTCACTCACACTCTCACTCACTCACACTCTCACTCTCACTCTCACTCTCACTCAAACTCACTCACTCTTTCACTCTCGCTTTTCATGGAAATAAAGACAGGACATTTCTTTTTAGCTATATACAGATGAGCACAATATATTTTTTCAGCTTTATATGAGTATGTTAATCTAACTTAATTCACTTTAAAAGACATAGTTTGTTACTAAATCCCTCTAAAAGAATTGTGTTGATTATTTGTTTAATGTTGGAACATCTTGCTCTACTAAAGAAGGCTTATGTTGTTCTCCACTTTCTCTGATCTTGAAATTAATAGTTAATACTAGATATTATTACAATCAGATCATGTAAAGATAGACGAACATCTAGAATACTGCCTATAAATAAACAAAAAAATATATAAATAGTAAAAGTTGCAAAAATAACATTCTGTGGATAAATCCATAAGTTTACTGATGTAGCTTAGTTCCATCAACCCCATGCCAATAAGTGCTTCTTACAGAATAAAGAACTCAATACTAAGAAATATACAGCAAAAGAGGAAAAAACAAAAGCTTGCTAATATTAAAACTTGAAGTCTCAAACATTTCTAAAAGACATTATGTGCCTCTACTCTGGAAATCCAAACATTTCAACCACTGATCATACTATAAAGTACTATAAATGGCTTGTAAAAGATAAATCTAAAAACAATGTCTTTAAAAAGAAAGTTGTATAAGGACTTCTGCTCAAACAATAAACCAAGAAATATTAACCAATGCCCCTGGGCAAATTTGGGGAGTGCTTGGCCTCTTTTGGGATTATGCTCAACCAATTGTGCTTGCCTACAGGGCCTGTCTCAGACTTTGTCAGTGCACTGAACTCATGCCACTGCACTAGCGTAGATGACTGTGTGATACTTGTATCCAATATCTGACGTTATTGTTTTCTGCATATTCAGAGATGCATTATACTCATTTTAGTTGTTAGATTGAACCTGTATTAACTGGAATATTTACATTAGACACCATTCCAACAAATTGGATCTGTTACAAGGATAACAGGCATATTATTTACATTCTAAATATCACCCCATTCATACAAAAAGATAGCCAGTCAGAGCATTACACATCCCATTCTCCCTCAGGCAATGCCCCAAATATCTTATAAAACAAACAGCATAAAAATGAAATGCATGTATTACATAGCATGACATGAATGACCTGTCCACCATAGCCACAACCCAGTCTGTCATGACAGGAATGGCTCATCACTTGGAGCTAGAACCAAATTAGCCAATGATGTGAACTACAGATCATGCAAAGGCACTGGATTTATATAATTTATTTTAACAGATCAAGTTTCAAGTCATGCCTATTATCAAACTATAATGTTACAGAGACAGCTTCAATAAAAACAAATACATCACAACAAATTGATAACTAAGGTAAAAACAATACCAGTACTACCATCACCTGCTTACCAAGTTACACCTTTTGAAGATATAGTCTAGTGCATAGAAGATAGAAACCATAGCTTGCTAGTCTTCTTCAGCTATAAACAGTTCCTTACACAGAAATAACATCACATCCACATAGGAAAATATACTTGCCTTACTATCATTTCTCAGGAAAGGGAGAGCCTGTCCAAAAAGCTAGAGATAAAGACATCTGATTATCAATCTATAATTTACTAAAAAAAGAAAGTTATATACTAAATATGTGAAAATGAGTCGAACAAGAAACAGATGCACATTGGTTGATAAAACATTGCCCTTGCATTCAGAAATATTCATAAAGCTTCAAATAACATCATATAATAAGGAGTGAAGGAAAGATATGTTATTCATGATATCAC